CAACATAAATGATACCACTGAGCGAATCGCAAATTAATAGTGTCAAAAAACAATAGGAGGCATGCCATAAAAGGAAAAAAATCATCACTGCCGACAGTACAACAAAGTCAAATACATATCAATCCTAGAAACAGAACCATTTCCTGATAGCCATACCAATTCCTTCTCAAAACCCTCAGCTACGTGTAGAAAGAGCTGTAAGTGCAATGAATATCCCCCAAAAAACTCATAACGAAAATGCCTAAAGAAAACAATGAACAATTGGAAATAGGAATCTAAAAAAACTAACATAGCTGCTAGAGGCAAAAAGGATAGAATACTACAAAAAGGTGGGCATGCTATGAAGAGCAGCAAAACACGGCTGATACGATCGAGCAAAAATACCGATGCACAAAATTAGTGAACGAAAAACATTTGCGACACGATTTTTGCCACTGCAACAAATTCTCCTCTCTATATCATACCCATCGCCCCTACAATCCCCTTCCAAACTCTCCCAACCCTCCACGACACACAGACAGACACACAGATGCGTAGACAAACATACACACAAACACATACATCCTTAAATACATACATACAAACACACACACATCAATACAAATATACACACATAAATACATATACACACGAGCACATATGAACACACGTACATACACACATACGTACCTGCATACATACAGACATACAAATATGCATACATACATTCATATATATACACATATACAAATACATACGCACATACATACAAATATACATACATACACAAACATATAAACAAACAAACAAACAAAAACACGCGCACATACATACGCGCATCATTCCGATCTAACTAATTCATTTATTAAAACACCACCCGCTTCAACAAAACCTTCAGTTTTACCTCCCCTTATAACTGCACGAGCATCGCTACAATCTGGAAGCTCTCTTTCTTTTCCGAATCAAATTCAATCAAGCAGCACAAAAATTCCAAAAGACAACTTAGCGTAGGACTAAGATACTTTACTATCAGTTTCTCGAATACAGCTACAACAAAATCAAATGACTGATATAAAAATTTTAAAACCCTGTCAGCGCAACCAAAAAATCAAATCGGCACTCAAAGAATCACAATAAAAGACTATAAAGGAAGTCACAGCTCAGAAAAAATCCAAAAAAGAAAATTCCAGATGTTAACCTAACTACAGATATCTTTAGTTTTTTCCCCGATTTCTCATTCACTTAGTGATGTTCATTTCGAAAAACAACAGCAATGTGCCAATTCCAAAAGTTTTGTGCACACCCATTTCAAATAAAAAAAACTTAGAACGTATACAGATTTGTCACCCAAAGCAAAACCTGATAAATGCTAAAATTAATAATTACCAATAAGCAAAACCAAACAAAACTCTAAGAAAAGCCTTGTCTGTCCTAAACAAAGCAATGCAGCAATCAAATGCAATAAACGAGCTCTGACAGAAAAAAACCTCTGCTGCTGTTCTTCTAAACCCAAAGCTTTAAAATTGAGAATACTGCAGAGTATTTACCCATTTCCTACCTTCTACATTCTCTGCACTTTCACAAACAAATCAAGTCTAAGCAGCATTCATTGAACTAACAAAAGTAATAACATAAGAAATTCTACATAATCCCCAGGACAAGTATTATTACATTAAACGTCAACACCTACATGAATCCAAAGTTTCTAACGCTTCACAATAACAGAGAAGACTTTTCAAAAAACCAAAAACAACAAGTATGACTTTCAAAACCAATGTTTTAAATGCACAATAAATTTTCTTCTTTTCGAAAATCAACAGTTAACAAACTAACTTTTTTTTTTTCTGACGACTGCCAAAGTGATAGAACGAAACGAGATAAAGACAAATAAAAATAGCGATATGAAAACAAAAAGCAAACCCAGCAAATTAGTAAATGTACCTGTCGACCGCATTCGATCATCGGTCCAAGAGAACAGTGCCCATATTGGCAAGAGGCCATCATAACTAGCTCAAATCACCCCAAATTCATTGCAACTGGCGGAAGAAATAAGATATTAAGGCAAATAACTGACCAAGAAATAGAACAAATTAAGTTTTTGACAAAAAAAAAATTGCAGTACAACGCGATCGCCGATTACAGTGTCATTACCAAACAACTCAAATTTTATATCCTCTAAGTTCACTGTTTCAATACACACAATAAAAATAAAAATAAAAAAAATAAATAAAACAAAGATTAAAAAAATAAAAAAATGCGTAAAACAAGTTATATTAAGTCAAGAATGTGAACAAAAAATATCAAAAAACCGAAAAATAACGAACAATAGTAGAAAAAATTGCTGCATCTCAATGTTACAAATCCTATGTTTAAGCCATAGTAAAACTTCGAGGAATTTTCCACAAATTTATTGTTACTTAAAAAAGTGAAACCGCCGACGTAGCACGTACAAGTGAAAAACCAAATTTTAATTACTGAGTCAGCCACTTTCTCAATCATCCATTTCTTTTATTCGTGAAAAACGCCAAAAGCAAAATAGCAAAAGAATCTTCGACCTTCAGATATTAAAAATCACTTTTAAACTACCGACGGACCAAAAGATGAGTCAAATATAGAGCGAAAATCAGTGAAGTTGAAATCTAATACCAAAAAAACAAAATAAAATAAAACCGTCACAATATTTATACAAACCAACCAACAAATTATCAAACTGTACTTTTCAGTAGAAGCCCTCCGTCAAATCCCAAACATTGACCTTAAGTTCTTAAAAGATGAAAAGATGCAGATAAGAACGAAATACAATTTTGAACCGAAAAAAGTTTACAGAAAACGGGCCAAGCATCTGCAAACAGTCAAACAAGACTACTCCTAATAACAAAGCATGAATAGACAATCAACAGTAATATGTCATGCAGCCAAAACTAACCAAAGATACACTCATGCTTGCAAACAGAACAAACGTTTAGGATGGCAGTGGGAAGGAGTGAAAGGAGACGGATGTGAAAGTGATGTAAAAACTACTTACAAAAACGGCAAGCTAATCAAACAAATGTTTGTCAATAAAAAATATATCACTCGCAGTTCAGGCAAAAGAGTGCCAAAAAACCTACAGTTTAAAATCAAAAAACTATCGAAACGCTACTTTCTTAACCAAGTAGAGAATGAACATAAGGGTGAAAATAATACGAAACACCATCAACCGATGGATGGATAGTTCAAAGAGGCGTGAGAGGCGGAGCTCACTTGGTCGATCAACGAATAAGAAATACGGAGACGGTACAGAGCGGTACGACAAAAAAAAAAAAAATAAAATAAAATAAAATAAAAATAAAATGAAAAAAATAAAACGAAATAAAAAATAAAAAATGAAAAAATAAAGGAAACAAAAAGTAAAAGAGAAAGAAAGAAACTGGAGGATACCCTCTTTAACTGTCGAAACTCAATAAAAACTGCAATAAGAAATGCATTATCCACCCCGGATGTGTTTTACAACAATAAGTTCTTCGAATACTTGAGAAATACTAATTATAACTTACTAAACCCTTCAAGCCTAGCTAAAACGAGTAAGATATACTGACTCGTACTATCCTTCCCGGCACTTCATCGAAATATATTTAGAAAAATACAGAAATCAACGAAAATCAAAAACAAACGAAACAGTCTAATCGGAATAACCAAAAAATCTAAAGAAGAAGCTCAAAAAAGAAAAAATGAAACCCATTGGCATTAAAAAACTGGCTGGTGATAATCGTCATTCATTGTCTGACTGGACATAATATGAAGTCAGTTTCTTGAAGCTCATTTTAAGATTCTAAGCAAAATACTACCTTGCATTAGCGACATAAGAGCAAAATATCGTTGGTTAACCGCTATACTGCGATAAAAGATGACAGAAGGATTGACGTTCGAGTCGTCATCCCTCGCTGTGAAAAATTTTCTTTTCCCACTCAAGGACAGATGACGGGAGAAAAATGGAAAGACGGAGTCCCCGGGATAGGACAGGGGAAAAAGCAAGCGTGTTTTTGAATCGTTCGGCTTAAATCTACAGCTCCCATGTACCTAACGTCTCACTCAAAAGTAATGCAAGAAAAAGTTTTGAAGAATCAGCTAATATTTAAAAAATATAGGGTAAACGACTTCATCTTACAAGAAAACTGAGCTGAAATCAGTCAGTGATAGTTCACTAGCAGAGGAAGTTGGGATGTACTAAGCAGGTAGTTGCAATTAGCCAAACAAACGGAAAAAAATAATTTGCACCAACATGGGCTTGGCAATGAGTAATTTTTTTCAAGTTAAATCAATATTGAACTGTCTTATCAACCAGTTTAAAAGTCAGCTAAAAATGAAATAAAAGGAAATAAAAGATGGAAAACTTTTTATATCAAAAGTATGTCAACCTATCGACGTCGTTTGAATAATTCTAAAAGCAACAGTGAGAAAAAAAATATCCATTCCACTCTTCCAGAAACAATAAAGGTTGCATCTTACGAGTTGTTCCAGTGCGGAAAAGCACGGTCAAGTCAAAAGGCGAGGAAAATGGGAAAGCGTGAAGGACCAAGAACGGGAAACAAGAGAACGCCTCCCCCTGTAGACGAAGAGGGGGCGGGCAACTCTAATTGACATTATGCATATCGTTGTTGGCACAGTGAGCCAGACTGTTAGAGGAGCAGTAGTTTTCGCTCACCGCAAATACAGAAGTCTGACCACAAGAGAGAGCACTGCAGTACCCAACACCAGCTGACGAGAACAGCAGAGAAAGGTCATCGCAGTGCTGACGTGCCTTTGATCGAAAAGAATTTTCTGCCACCAGCACTGTATCATACAAATCCCTTTCTTTTGGACCTCAAGAAACAATACTTTACGTCCATTTTTTATCTGAATGATAGATTACTGATGAGCTGAATCCTTCCTCCACAGTAAATCCTCACTTACCTATGATATCCTCTTCTTCTTTTTTTTTTTTTG